ACAATTAGTAACAGACCATTTATTTACTAAATGTTATAGGAGAGAGCCAGCTGTCTCTATTTCCTTTCCTTGACAATTTGAAGTTAGAATTTTCTCATGACATTTAGCCATTTATAAATGTTCAGTTAAACATGACAGTTGTTGTGGATTGGATATTTGTAAGGTCATTTTTCATAGGCTGCCCCAGAAGAAACATATTTCAATCCAAGCAAATGATTAGCATTTCCGTATGATTTGACTCTACTTTTTCTATGGCCCAGAAACATATCTTAACACTTGCTCAATTTAATTTGATGTGGAAAAGGCCTCTTTTTAATCAACTTTAAAATTATGTTCTGTTGACTTGCAAATGAGAGGTCAATGCTAATTGAGAGAGGCCTTAAAAACTCTGACATCTTTGATCCCTGCACAAAGATTCCACGCTCAGTATGTTCTGATACTTGGCTTTTCTATATTCCCTTACGAGGTTAAGAAGATGAATGCTCATTGCTTTTAATCCTTACCATGATTTATGAGCCTCTTGGTATCTTTTCCCCAGAGCAGCTACAACTGTGTGGTTGTTCTGCCTGCTGCTTAAATTACACAGACATCTGCAAACTAAATTATGGATTGTTGTCCCATAGACCATAACCGAGAATTCTCTTCATCATTCCTGCAGTATAATTTTTTTTTTTTCTGATTAGAACAAAGAACATGTATGTATTTCCTTGCTTCTGTAGTAAGGGCATTTTAAGCTAATTTGAAAGATAGCACAATAACCTGGATTGTGATCTATCACAAAAAATCAAAGCAGCATGAAATATAACAAGGTAGCTGTAAAGCCAGAAAGAGAGAAAAAAAAAAAAAGATCCCCTATTTATTTATATCTTTCATCTTTATTTAAGGCATTGAATATTTAGACTCACAGAAGGAAAGTGACCTTTAAGATTAACTGAAAATATGCACCATGGAATAAAATGCATGTAAATGACCTTTATGTCTCTGAGTGTGAATGATTTTAAGAGCATCTTGTGATCTGATCTATGACTATTTAAATTAAACACTGAGCAAAGAAATGGAAAATTACATAAAGGATAATTCATGGAAGATTGGGATATGTTTTTTAATGTAGTCTTTTCTGCTGGTCTCACTTGTAGTAAACCTATTTTAATAATCTGGAGACTTGAAGCAATCGCGAGTAATTGGAATAACTCTTTTGTCTGAATTAAAAGGCTGGTAGAGTCTAAGTTGGAAAAATCAACTGCTTCTGTATTTTTCCTTTCTTTTCTCTTCTTGTTATTCTGTGTAGATGATGAATTATAATTCCCAATAATAAGCCCACTGTGAAATCCTAACAGGTATGTCTCAAATTATTAACCTTTGACAATTACCAAAATTAGAAATATCCCTACATTTATCTTCTTCAGATGTGTTAATTGCAACTCTAACAATAACCTGTCAGGGAAAATCACACGAACAAAATTTACCAAATGATTTCTAGTTATGCCTTACAAAGTACATTTAAAAAAAAAAAAAAAAAAACAGATGGCTCTGCAATTAATTTTTTGAACCCTGTTGTCAACTCAGCAGGACACAGTGAACACTAAAGAAATGCTCAAATCCACTCCTGGCTGAGCAGATCTGCTGTTGCCTCCGTGTTTCCATCAGTTTCTGTTTCACCTCATCACTGCTGAAAGGCAATGTTTTCTGAGTGTCAGGACCTGATATTCATACCAATGACCTAAAGACTTGCTTTTTTAAAGATAGATCCTAGATTTGTTTGCCTCTGTGTCAGTGAAAAGCTCACTTACAAAACTTTCCATTTGTCGACACTCTTTGTATCCTCATCTTCATAAAATAAAGTATTAGTGGAATATTGAAGTATTCTACTTAGTTGATATGGTTTGGCTTGTGTTCCCCATCCAAATTTCATCTTGAATTGTAGCTCCCATAACTCCCACACGTTGTAGGAGGTACCCAGTGGGAGGTAATTGAACCATTGGGTGGGACTTTCCCATGCTGTTTTTATGATAATGAATAAGTCTCATGAGATCTGGTGGTTTTATAAAGGGACATTCCTCTGAATATACTCTCTTGCCTGCCACCATGTAAGATGTACCTTTGCTCCTCCTTTGCCTTCCAGCATGAAGGTGCAGCCTCCCCAGCCATTTTTCTTTATAAATTACCCAGTCTCAGGTATGTCTTTATTAGCAGTGTGAGAACAGACTAATACATTAGTTAAAACCCTAAACTATTTAAACATATCTTGAAATAAATTATTTTTGAATACTTATTTAATTTCCTAAGAAAGTATACAGGACAGATGGAAATAGAGTTTAATTGGTGCTCCCAAAAGATCTAATATATATAACCTCCCAATCTCTTGCCAGCAGTCATCTTCTTTACACACACATACACACACACACACACACACACACACACACACAATCCCCACATCAGGTTATTCTTCTACATTCAAAAACAAACCAACTAAAGCAACGAAACACAGCTCCACATCCTATAAAAGATAAAGTCCCAATCTCAGACATAGTTTTCATTTCATTAAAGTTTCTTCATCATGTAAGCCTATTCTTCTGGATTTATCTGCCAGCTATTCCCATATTTGACACACATTTCATTCTCTAACTCCTCAAGTATTATAAAATTCACCACATATGAAATGATATCATATATCTTTGTACCTTTTATATATCTATACCCTCTTCTTTACATATTTTTATCTATTTCTCTTTATAGTCTAGTTCAAATGTCCTTTGTCTGCATTTTCCCTACTCTTTCCAACTATTACAGGAAGAAAAAAATGCCAACTTCAACCATATTTTTCATATTGGAACAAGAAAGTATTCTATAAATGATCAAAGAATGCTCAATTAACCATATGAAAGAAGAAAGATTTCCTTTCTCTTTCCCTTTACTTTTTTGCATGATTTACAATAAACTAATATAATTACTTATTAACTAAACATGAATGTGAGAAATTAATAGAATGAGAGTTTTGCAAAATATTAAAGAAATAATACATTGCCCTATGTGATTGTTGAAAAAGAAAATTATAAAAGGGGGTGGTAACATCATAAACAGGCTCCAGAGCATTACTCTATTCAAAGTTAAATTAATAAAAGAAAAATTTCTTTCTTAATAAAGAAATGTTAATAATCAGTTAATATGACTTGAAACCTATATATTCATTGTTATTGATTATCACTCTCTATTTTATTATAGCATTCCACTGAGATTATTCTCAGCTCTATTTGCTTATGTAGCATTTATGAAAATCCTCACATTAAAAAGAAAATAATTTCAAGCCATTCTCCTCAAATGCCTTCTGCATCGATATGAATTCTACTCTAATTAAAAACAAATGAACATGCCAATTTCTTTAAAATTATCCTTTCTCAAGTCATTATCTTTAGTTTTATGTTAAACAAATATCAAACTATTTTTATTTCTTCTTATCGTATATAGCACAGAGTGAACTATAAGACATTTGCAAAGAGTGTGAGTCTCTTCTCATTTATCTGGGCCTTTGGATGTTTTAATGCTCCATTATGCTTTAAAGAAAAGGAGAGAAAGTGCTGCATTTATCATTGGAATGGCTTAGTATTAATTTTTCATTTTTCATATTTTCATCACAGATAATACTGAGGTTGATGTAATCATGGATATTTAAGAATATGGAGTTGCCTTTTACAGGAATTAAAAGTCAAAGTGTTCACTTCTCTTATTCTATAAACAGAACATCTGGACTGAAACCCCAAACCAAAATTATCCATCGTCAGAGATTTAGAAATTAATTAAAATTTTCTACAAAAAATGCAAAAATTTCACAAAGAAAAGGTAAACAATTTTCTACATGGAAATTTTGAATATTGAAGAGAACGAATTGATAGATAAAAGAGATGACCATGGGGCGGAGGAATTATTAACAGTGGAGATATTAACTGGTTCATTCTATTTCAATCTTATAATCTTACATTTTTAATCTAAAATTTGAATTTTTTCCTCAAATCTTATAGTTGAAATTAATTGATAATGTTTTAAAACTACACTAAAGCCTAACCTTTACTGAATAAGTTAATCTTATAAAAGGATCATGATAAAGAAAAACAAAAGGCTTCATCTTTCTACTTCAGAAATATGGGCATGCATAGAGAGTTTGAACAAATATCACAGGAAGATTCATAAAGCCACATTAGTTTAATTACACATCTGCCTTATCTCTTCAACCTTGTCTTTCTGAGTTGTTATATCAATGGTTAATCTTAACTGATCACTGATTAGAACTGAGAATATCAAGCTTGTTTTGACTACAGCCTAAGTAAGAGGAGATTCTCCCATTACCAAGAGGGGAGTGTCAAAGCAGTACTCTAATTACTACCTCTGTGAAGGTTAACTGTATCTGTCTAAATCTCAATGTTTAGATTCCTACCATCAGCAAAGGAAAAGCAGATTACAATTGCCAGTGCAAGAAACAATTGAACCAGATTGTGCCATATCAATATCCGTAAAGACGAGAGAATTTATGACTTTATCTCTCTGTTTCCTATGGGTGACTTTCAACAGAGATTTGCCTTTGAAATGAGACATATCCAATTTAACAAACATAATACCCGCTAATTATGAGGGACTAGGCAAAGTGTCATAAAAATAGAATATAAAAGATGGAAATAACTTTCTGTTCTTTAGGACGCACCTAGCCATTAGATCTTCTCAAACCTGCATGTAAATTGAAACTGTGAGGAAAAATACAACAAAGAAACTAAAAAACAAAGAATTATAAAAATAATTATATATTCTAAAAAATGTAGAAATAACTGGTTACTTCAAGTTTCATGATTTTGTTGTGTTGACGTCAACTGTCTGTAAATATACAAATATTTGAATATTTTGATTTCCAGTAAACATTTTTTAAAGTAAAGAAGTTTTAAATAGGATTTGCATTTTCAGGTATTAATTAAGAAGGTAAAAGCATATATCTTAATAAGATTTTTTTTACCTACCTTTAAGAAGGCTGGCATTCTTTAAAACTCGCTACTGCTCCTGGGATCCAGCTTGGCTATATTCCTCAAAGAGTCAAGCTGTTAGGTAACAGAGCTAGAAAGACAAACATAGACAGTCAGAATGTTAACTGTCTTTTCTAATAAACATTTATTTTAGAATATTTTTACATTTTCTTAAAAGTTGCAAAGATGGTATTGAGAGTTCTCGAATACCTCACATCTGATTATCACTATTGCTAATATCTTACCTTATAATTATAAGTGCATTTGTCAATGTACTTTTGATGTATGTACAATGTACTTACAATGCTGCTTTTGATACATTGTGATAGATAGTGATACATTGTAATAGACGGATCTAAATGAACCAATATTGACACATTATTCTGATTTCACTAGTTTTTCTCCTAATGTCATTTTTCTATTCCAGGATATCACATTGCATTGTCATTACGTCCCCTTGGCCTCCTCATGGCAGTGATAGTTTCTTAGACTTTCTTGTTTTTGATGACCTTGAACGTTTTGAAAAGCAATGGTCGGACATTTATAAAATATCCTTCAGTTGGAATTTGGCTGATGTATTTCTAATGATTAGACTGGGGTTATGAGTTTTTGGGAGGAAGACCATAGAGGTAAAGTATCATTTTTGTCACTTCATATCAACGGTATGTGTGTCATCAGCATGACTTATTACTGTTGACACAGATCTTGGTCAGCTGACTGGGGTACTTATTGCTGTTGATGCAGATCTTGATCAGCTGACTGGGGTACTTATTTCTGTTTACACAGATTTTGATCAGCTGACTAGGGTACTGTTTGCCACCATTTCATACTATAAAGTTTCTTTTGTTCCTCCTTTTCATACTGTACTTGAAAGCAAGTCACTAAAAGCAGCCCACAGTCAAGAGATAGGGAGTTAAGCTCCATCTGCTGGAGGAGAAAATGACATAAATTATTTGAAATTTTATGAGAGAAATTTACCTATTCTCCCCATTTGTCTGTTTCCTTGTTTTTGTATTCATTCATTCAGTAATTTATATGTATCAGTGTAATCTCATGGATATTTATTTTGTACTTCATGTTATAACACAATACTACACTGTTTATTTTGTTGGTCTAATTGTTTTAGCTTTGGCCTTTGCGAGCTCTTTCAATTAGCCTCTGTCTTTTTCGACATACCATATTGGCTTGTTTAGTGAGTACTTCCTTAAGTCCTGGCATGATAAGATAGTCCATGTAAATTTCAAAATGCATAATATAAATGTTATAATCTTCTTGCCTCAGACCTAGACTCAGCCACTTTTTTCAAGGATCTCTGGTTCCTTTTATCACAGAATGGTGAGAAATCAAGATCTGACCACTAGTTATGGTTCCTTGCCACTGGGGTGCCATTACTTCTAAGCCCTCTCAGTGAACTGAGCTAGGAAATTTATGTATTTATATTAACATGTATATGCAGACATCCATAATTGTCTCTATATCTATCAATCTGTATATATAATTAGATAACATTATTTCATACTGACAACTTCAATCTGTATCTATAATTAGATAACATTATTTCATACTGATAACTTCAACTCTTCAGTTTCATATTGTTAACTTCAGGCTGATAACTTCAACTTCCTCAATATATATTAAATAAACAGCATTTTGGGTGTAATAGAGTATATATTAAAACCACATTTTTCATTTCTTTATGAAATGCTCCTCTCTGAGTATTATTTCAAGAGTGATTCTTATAAAGATGTCCGCACAAGTGAGAAAACACGTTCATGGTGCCTGATTCTGAAGAATCATTAAGAAAATCCATGGACATTTATTTTCATTCATTTCTACTAAAGTTCATTATGCTTGAAAAAGAAAAGTAGCTTTTAATACTGTGTGCATACAACCACAGCTATCTGATTTTTTTTTTTTTAACAAATACCATACACTGCAACAATAAAAAGGACATGAGGAGATATATACTGCTTTATAAAACTTAATATATTTTCTTCTACTGAGGCATTGTATTACTATGACCATGTCTTCATATAATTCAATTTTTTAAGACAAAAAGTCTCAGTTCAATTATACTTATGTGAAAAATGTAATTTTCAATGAAATTATAAAATAATTATAATTAATGCACTTGTTAATCATTATAGCTAAATGGTAATTAGAATGTATAAATGCTTATCATTTTTATTACAAACGTTTAGTAGAAAATACAGGTAGTAACAAGGTAGACTAATAATCCATGCGGGATAACTTATTTTCTGAAAGTAAAAACACCAACTCATTTTAACATTCTGTTATTCTGATAACTAATAAAGGTTTCCCTGTCAAACAAAATCTTTAGGTTTAAAAAACATTAAAGTGAGACATAAACTTCCAAGAAATTCTAAGCCATTTCATTCCCTTCAACTGTGTTAGATATTTTGGTTAAAATGTAATAATATCTGTATCAGTTTCCTGTGGCTGTGACAAGTAATTACCATACATGTAGTGGCTTAAAGCAACAGAAACTTATCCTCTCACAGTTTTGGAGGTCAGAATTCTGAAATAATTAAAGACTGAGCTGAAATAAAGGTGTTACGGTGCTACCATCCCTTCAGAGGGTCTAGAGGAAAATCCATTTCTCGCCTCCTCTAGGTTCTCGTGACTGCCGTCGTGCCTTGCCTTGTGGCCATTTTCAATATTCAAGGCTAATATCATCAAATTTCTTTCTCCTCCTCTACGTTGCCTTTTCTTCTGTGTATTCAAATCTTCTGCCTCTCATTTTTAAGAATGCATGTATTTACAATTTAGGCCTATTCAGCTAACACAGGATAATCTTCTCATTTTAAGATCCTTTATTTAATCACAGCTGCAAAGATCCTTTCTTGTCATATAGGTTAACATTCAAAGGTTCTATGAATTAGAACATGGCTGTCTTTGGGAAGTCATTTTTCAATCTACCATAGATCCTGAGGATTAAGCTCTGATTTTTTTTTTTTTTTTTTTATCTTGCCCAAATTCCTATCTAAGGGGTCTGGAGAGTCATGCCCTATAAGCCATCAATTCTCATCAGATGGGTTTTATTTAACCCTATATATCATGACATACCTTCCATCCTGACTCAGGCATAACATTAGGAGACAAGGAAGAAAATCAAAAGATTTTACCCCAAAACATGTTTCTTTGCCATATCTTGAAATGTCCCTGCAAAGCTGTCCTTACTGGTGACAAATTTGCATGTGTAAAGAATTTCTATTAACATATGTAGATCTTTTTCTTCCAGGTGTTCCCAGTGCTAAGGAGTTTAACTAAAAGTCTAGCACCTTTTAAAAATCTGAATAGGAAGCATTTGTCATCTATTGTCTCTAAGGGCAGCCAATGTAAGACCTCAAAAAGAACCTTGGTCTCCACAATATTTGATCTTAACTTGAACATTTCCTTTCTATGGATCCCAGGTCTTTAGACAAACTCAGTCATCAATCAGAAAATGTTTAAATTTACCTATAGCCTGGAAACCACCACCTCCCACCCCAAAGCTTTGAGTTGTGCCACCTTTCGGGACCAAAACCATGTATTTCTTAAATGTATTTGATTGATGTCTCATGCCTCCCTAAAATGTATAAAACCAAGCTGTGCCCTGACCATCTTGGGCACATGTTCTTAGGACTTCCTGAGGGCTGTGTCATGGGCCATGGTCACTCACATTTGACTCAGAATAAACCTCTTCAAACATTTTACAAATATTTTCATTGACAACCAACTTATAGATCTACTTCCCATCCCCTTCCATATAGGAGAAAAAAAATATTCTAATAAAACCACTTCCTCATGACTCTATCTCACTACAAGACAGTGTGTATGGCTAAGGCAGCAGAAATATACACACACAATGAAAGGGTGTTTTAAAATACTGTTTAAGACAACCTAGGACAGGCACATAATTAACTTGCTTAGAGAGACAGACAGATGTTACTTAATAATGAAACTCTAACAACTATTTCTTTCCCTTCAGACTAGGACTACTGATAATCTGCAATTATGTGTGACAAGCTGAACAAAACCACAGAACCAGAGTGTCAGACTATGGCTACATAATTTTTAGAAAGATCTTAATTAAGCAAATCTCATAAAAGTTTTTTAAAAGGCAAATAATGTTTCTTTTTTTTCTGTTTCACATCCCATTTCAGAAATTTTTTATACTCTTTTTTTTTTTTTAATTTATTTATTATTATTATACTTTAAGTTGTAGGGTACATGTGCATAACGTGCAGGTTTGTTACATATGTATACTTGTGCCATGTTGCTGTGCTGCACCCATCAACTCGTCATCTACATCAGGTATAACTCCCAATGCAGTCCCTCCCCCCTCCTCCCCCTCCCCATGATAGGCCCCGGTGGTGATGTCCCCTTCCTGAGTCCAAGTGATCTCATTGTTCCGTCGTTCCCACCTATGAGTGAGAACACATGCGGTGTTTGGTTTTCTGTTCTTGTGATAGTTTGCTAAGAATGATGGTTTCCAGCTGCATCCATGTCCCTACAAAGGACACAAACTCATCCTTTTTGATGGCTGCATAGTATTCCATGGTGTATAATGTGCCACATTTTCTTAATCCAATCCTGTCACTGATGGACATTTGGGTTGATTCCAAGTCTTTGCTATTGTGAATAGTGCTGCAATAAACATACGTGTGCATGTGTCTTTATAGCAGCATAATTTATAATCCTTTGGGTATATACCCAGTAATGGGATGGCGCTGGGTCATATGGTACATCTACTTCTAGATCCTTGAGGAATCGCCATACTGTTTTCCATAATGGTTGAACTAGTTACAATCCCCAACCAACAGTGTAAAAGTGTTCCTATTTCTCCACATCCTCTCCAGCACCTGTTGTTTCCTGACTTTTTAATGATCGCCATTCTAACTGGTGTGAGATGGTATCTCATTGTGGTTTTGATTTGCATTTCTCTGATGGCCAGTGATGATGAACATTTTTTCATGTGTCTGTTGGCTGTATGAATGTCTTCTTTTGAGAAATGTCGTTCATATCCTTTGCCCACTTTTTGATGGGGTTGTTTGTTTTTTTCTTGTAAATTTGTTTGAGTTCTTTGTA